CGGTACTTACCTGTGGCGCCATAGCTCCAGCTCCATCTTTGAGGTACCTGCATCAAGGCGCCAACTTCACAGGTTAGTACTGGACACAGAGAGAGAGAGAGAGAGAGAGAGTTCTTCTTCTTCCTCTTCTAAGTCCACCATCTCTTCTCACCCTCTCACCACCTGACTTCTCAGGATCAGCAGACTACGACAGAGAGAGAGAGAGAGTTGTAGAGTTGTGACTTGAGACTTGACGACATTGGATCCAGACTCGACATTTGGGATTCAGACATTTTGACGAGGGACTATTTGGGCCTGTGCCGAAGACTTGGTGTTGACGACATTCCCATCTTCCACTCCTCTTCGTCTAACCCCCTTCTTCTTCGTCTGTGTATGGTTGGGGCTGGCGCAGTCTTCCTGTGTGAAGCGCCAGACCCCTTTCACACCATGGAACGATGATGATGATGTATGTTCAGGGCTATTGATTGTTCGGATCATTGGTATCTAAGTCTTCCGCTACGCTATCTTGTACTTTGTATTGAGAGGTCGGTTCTTGTTCTGGTCTGCACCGTTACAGTATGCAACACGCTGTGTGGGGCTGATACATCACTGACTGGTTACGGGCGAATGAGGAAGCAGCATTGTCGTCACACATGTGCTGCGAGCCAATGAGAATGCTGCAAACACTTGGAGGCTGGGTGGCTTCCTGGACGTGCTTCACTGCACGATGCGCAGGCCAGTATCTGAAATTGGGCCTGGGCGCAGACACTTGGAGCCAGAGGCAAGCTACTGCCCCCACCCCGCACGCCTGGATAGGCCAGCCGGTGGACACTTTCCATATAGGAAAGTGTGTGCCCCATGAGAGGGCATTCTGGACTTGGCAGGCAATGAGGACACGATGCTGCGTTGCTGCGCTAGTGTCTGCATGGGCACTGCGGGTCGGACACACGCACGGGCGCTGAGGTGAGGGGCACTGCTGAGGCAGCGGGCGCACAACAGCCATAGCCAGGCTGCAGGGGCGCACACAGTTGATGGCGATGGTGGTCTTCGGGTAGGAGGCGCCTGCATAGAGTGGTGTTCAAGGTGTGATGAGGGGAGGAGAGAGGACGTAACTGGTGTATGCTGGTGGTTGGCATTAGTGTTGACGTCACGTACATTGGTCTTCGACTTTGATGTGATCCAGTCGCAAGAACGTAGATAGACTAGATAGGCTGAGTAGAGAAGGCTGGGCGCTGGGCGCCAGACAGTAGGGGCAATATTGGATACAGTGTTGGTGTGACCAGAGAGCGTCGGCATTGATGCGTAAGTTCAGTGTATTGCTCTTATTTGGATGGAATCTTGGTTGATTGTGCTCTCTGCTTGGTACATGACTATCTGGACTACTACATGATTTTGCAACTTGGTTTTCTGTCTATGGCTCTCGCTCATATTCCTTGCACTTATGTGATTCTAATTAAGTAGTTGAGTAAACGTGTTTTATTAATTCAATGTGTGTCTTTCTGCACTTTACATATCGACTAGCCAGGTAGAGCCAAGAAGAAGCAAAACTAGAGGGAGGGGCGGTATGGCTAAGAAGGGTGTAAGAGGAATGGCAATACGTCACCAGAGAAAGAGCCCTGATAATGTTCGACTATACTCGAAGAGTGCTTTCCATCTTTTGTTCTGGAAGATACTTCATCACCTTCTCCTATCCCTTTCTTGTACATCACCTACCACTCCCTCTGCTTCGTCCCCCGTTGATCATATCTCCTTTGACCATCGCCCCTGTCCAGCCTTCCTTTCCCTGGTCAACTTTACTCTCTCCCTCTGTACTATGTCAATCTTTTCTCCCTTCCCCTCGTACCCCAATCCTTACTGACTTGCTGTCCTCCAATTCACCAGGTTTGGAAATCGTCCTACCTATAATTAGCGTTACCGCCCTCCTTACTTAAGGGGGAGACTCACACATGTACTCAACGGCTTAACCCGTTACTCTATATTTACTATACTCCTATTTTCCTCATTCCACCCCCTCCTCTCCTTTATCTGCTCTCCCTTATCTCCCTCCAATCCTACTCCGTCCTCGCTTGCCAGGGTGACTTGAAATATCTATTTCCACTGTGTGTGTCGGCTCGTCATGCTTTGTAAGAACTGTCCCTCCCTTCGTGT